TATCAATTTTAATAAAATAAATGCTTAACCAATAATTTCTTAAGGGGAGTGTAAATTGCAAAATGGACCATGAACATATAATAATTGAATTTCTTAAATATAATCTTATCTTTAATTAAATTAAAGAAGCAAAGAGTATAGTATTAGTATGTACTATCATTGGAATATTTTGACACTTTGCTCAGTTGCTGCTTTTTGTCATATACACAAATATCGAGTAAACTTCAAATTCAAATATGAATATCCCAAACTAACATCCCCTTGTAAATCCAAATCCGCTTAAATTAAATAATATATGTGGTCAACCACAATAACTTAATAAGCCATATGACTTTTTTAAATTGAAAAAACTCATCAGATTTAGAGTGTTATTTGAAGGATATTCTTGAGCCAAAAAAATATGTTTAAGTATTTTTAGATCAATAGATAGATGGATGCTAAAGTACATATTTCTTTTTGTTTTTTAAGTATCTAAATATCAATTCTGAAATATTGCATTGATCTATTTTAATTTTAATTTTAAAATAATTAAATTAACTCTCTAAAAACAAAAAAAATACCACAGAAATTGAAATAGAAAAAGTATAATTATCGATTTAGATTTTTCTTTTCTTTCATTTGGGGATTTGAATAGCTAAGTATTTTCTGGCTAACCTTTTCGTATAAACACAAATTTGATCATTGCATCCATCACCTCCATGTGTCTCCCATCAGTTCTAATTAACCTCCATTAATTAGTCTAATCCAGTACTTACTCAAAAAATAACGACTTTAGATTGCATTGATCTATTTTAATTTTAATTTTAAAATAATTAAATTAACTCTCTAAAAACAAAAAAAATACCACAGAAATTGAAATAGAAAAAGTATAATTATCGATTTAGATTTTTCTTTCTTCATTTGGGGATTTGAATAGCTAAGTATTTTCTGGCTAACCTTTTCGTATAAACACAAATTTGATCATTGCATCCATCACCTCCATGTGTCTCCCATCAGTTCTAATTAACCTCCATTAATTAGTCTAATCCAGTACTTACTCAAAAAATAACGACTTTAGATTAATTTGTTTGTTGGAAATTAGAACAATAAATAACTAAAGAGTCACGTGGAAAAAGAAAAATTAGAAGTCTTATATATTCAATATACTTTGATCGATTTTACTTTTATTTAAACAATGCAAAATGTATTACACAAAAATAAAATGTATCTTGATTGTCAGACTCCACTTAAGAAATTAAGATATATAGGTAAAATGCAATGCATGTAGAAGACAAGAAATAAATAAGTTGGTCTATAAGTTAGAATATCACCATCCTGAATATAATTTAAAGGTTAAATTAGCTATGCTTATTTTCTAAAAGAATCAATTAATTGAGTTGACTACACACCATTAAGAGTACAACATGTACTAGTGCTACCAAATCTAAACCTCTCAAAGCTTATAAGTGGATTAAGAACCACTAATTATGTTAGTTAGCACTTACTAGTGTCACTTTTTAATTTTTGTAAATACACGGATTAGTTAACATGCAATATAAATCGATTAAAATATGAACTAATAATATAGGAGTGAGTAAGACTAATTATTATAATTATTGTAAGTTAGGAGAAAAATCATAAGTAAAGTGACTGAATACTTATATATATTCCTTACAACCTAAACAACAAGGATGGGATATGGATTATGAACCCTCAACTAATTAATCAATCTTATAATTAATCAACATACCTTTCAAGTATTTTAATTAGTTTAGATGACTTTGCACCAACTTCATAATGATGACACCTTATGTTAAATCATCATTTTAATTCAATTTTTCTTTCCTTCGCTTCAGCCCCAATCAACTTCTCTATATACATATATATTCAATACCAATACGATAATAAATTAATAATTTCAGTATCGAAGTCAGAAATTTCAATAATTGAATTTAAAAATTTACTAAAATATCACATTTCGTAGAATAATATGCATGCACGTGGTGAATTTACTCCTTTCTTACGGTACTTGCTAGGTAAAAGATTCCATAAACTTATTATTGAAAGTTTTGGGAAAATCAAGTATGATGAAATGATTAATCGTAGGATTAGGACAATAGATTTGAGGGTTACGGTGTTAATTAAGAATCCCTCCAAGAATAAGTGGAATTATTGATGAGGTAGTTAGAACTTAGCCATACATACATATATATAGGAGGTCACAAGCCTTACTTTTAGGTAATTATTAGTTCTATTTATTGTATCTAGAATTTTTCTGGAATAGATAAGATCTGATCTTATCCTTAATTAGAAGTCTCGGATACACCTGACTCCTGAGTGTGGGAAAAATCTTATTAGGTAGAGCTTCCCCTTAAATGACTCCAATATGGGTATTGGATACGAGATGAAAAAATTGAAATGAAGTTTTCTTATATTTATGAACAATTACTTGTAATTATCTTCTGGCAATATAAAAGAAGGCGAAAGCAAACAATTATGGAGCCTTGTAGTTGAGGAAAATGCCAAGAAGTCATGGTCAGCAAAAACATCATAAGAAGATGAACATTGAGCCTATGTTTGACAAAGAAAAGCACACATAATACATTTGTCTATTTTGACAAAGCTAATTGTGTACACCGCTTGGTTTGGAACTTCTTTTCACTTCCTCTATGTTCGTTCACTCCAAGAAATAAACACAAGTTTCACCTCCACCTAAGTACTAGTGACTACGGAGAAATTTTGTTGGGAGCGCTACCTTCGAATGAATCTTACAGTGTATAATTCAAATTTAGTTGGGGCTCCAATATGGACTCCAGACATCGGGAAAAAAAAGGACTATGTAAAGGGTGATTAGCAAGTGATGACAACCAAAAGCTACCAGACAAATTGCTAATTTGCCATTTTTTGCAAATCCAAAATGAGATTAGTGACTTTGCCGGGCTACCCTGCTTATGTCACCACTCATCTAGATCAGTATTTTACTAGTCCACTTTAAACTTTACACGTCTCTTTAAAAATAATGATTAATATAAGTATATATGGCTTTACGTCTTAGAAAATGATTCAAGGAATACATAATATAATTATGTCTTTTCATAAAAAGTGTGCAAATTTTTTATTTTAATATATATATAGTATGAAATGGAGATAATATTGACAAAAACTAGTTCTACTTTTCTTATTTCTCCGAATTTGATTAGTATTTGTAAATCAAATCAGTTTCAATAATCATAATTTGTCGTTGTTTATGATACGAAAGTTTAACCAATTTTAAATACATGACTACATATTACTCTATAGACAGTGACTAAAATAAATTTGAATAAAGTATGCTATTAATAACCTTTCTCACTAATCAAACCAGTTTATATGAACAAAAGGAAAAAGTTTTAAATTAAAGTTACTTAGTTTAACCATTGATATTTGTTTCAATTTTTAAGGGATCCAACTCAATTTTTTCCTCTTTGGCACAATCCCACTTTTATGATATTGTTTTCCAAAATAGAATAAAAGAGAACACTAATGTTATCTAAACATTAAGAAGGAAGAAATTATTAAATGTTCCACTTTACTTATTTCCTATGCTAGAATATGGATATGTGACCACAAGTGTTGTGTAAGATAAAATAATTCCAAATTAAACAATTGATATTCCAACACATTGAAGTAAATTCCAAGAAAACCAAAAAGAAGTTTTCTCTTTTCCATCACCAAGCAAGACATGAAAAAAGACTAGTTATAGCAAAGGTTCTCAATTGTTAATTATTTAAATGCTTTCACATTATTAAAAAAAAGGTGCAACCCTTTTAACCACCAGGAAAAAAATGTAACCCCCTCCAAAAGTGCAATTTCTTTTCCTAAATTTCTGTAAAATCTAATAGGTTTAAATATTGATGAAAATCAAAATTGCTAAAAATATATTTAAAGACTTATTTTGAGTCTATCCACAAACATAAGGGACTATTTTTGTCATTTTCTATCACATTTAGTGGAATTTTTACAAGATCCAACCAGAGTTACACTTCTTGTGATAATCGGAGCAAAATACGATGATTTTTATGTAATCAAAGAAAAAACATCGACTTTTGGGTAATAAGCAAATATAAATCTAAAGATTTAAAGGTTTCATTTCTGCCACTGGACCTAAAAGTCTACTTCATTATTGAATTCCAACAAATATTTCTTATATATTTAAATTATATCTCTCAATATAAACACAAAAAGTTACTCGACTCCCGAAAACCCAAACCCAATTACCTAAATCTGCCCTTGATACTCCCTTCGTCCACTTTTAATTGTCATATTGCGCTTTTTAAAAGTCAATTTGACTAATTTTCAAAGTTAAATTCGATTACATTGAATCAATATTTTAAACAAAAAAAATTTGATATTCAAAAACTATATAAAAGTACTATAAATTACAATTTTTTGCATAATACATCGTAAAATATTAGTAAATTTTTTTTTAGTTTGACTCTAAGAATGAAAATCATGACAATTAAAAATAGATGGAGGGAGTAATAATCTCAAACATGAATCATCACCCATAAAAAAATTATCTCCAAAAAAGGAAAGAAAAAAAATTCCTTCTAAAACCAAAGTATTTTTTTTGTTTTCCACTCACATTGAAGCTCGACTAAATTTAGATTCGCATTGAAAAATTCCACATTACAAATAAAACGCTTCCTAATAAAGACAATTTATACTCAAAAAATACTCAAACTCAAGACCTCTAGTTAAATAGCCCCGTTTGTTTCTAAAACCCAAGTTAAGATAGAGAACCAAACTCCAACAAACTCACTCTTAACAAAACAAAGCCAAAACAACTCCCACTGCAAACTCCTCTATTGTTTTTGTTAATATTTTTTTAGTTGTTGGCCTATCCATTCCTTCCAAAAAACCGACTCTCCAAACTTTTTTTTCCAAACTACCATTGAAGATTTAGATTCCTCCATTAAAATAGAAGAGCTAAACATCAATATATATCTTCATTTTCTCAAACCATCTTCACATCCCAAAAAATGGAAACTTACTCCTCTGTTCCAATGGAGAAAACAACCAAAATCATCAGAAAATCAATCTTTATTTTTCTTCAGAACTATCAATTCTTCACTACAACAACGGCTTTTTTCGCCTTTCCTTTCGCTGCTTCTGTTCTTTTACTACAATCATTCATCTACTCATCGTCGCTTTATCCAGTAATTTATGAGCGTTTGCATTTACTTTTCGATGCAGCAGGGTTCCCTTCTTCATCAGAGTTCTTCACTCTTCTCAATTCCAAGATTTCTCAGACAATTTCGATATCTTTTCTTGCATTCCCTTTTACCATTTCCTTTTTTCTCTTTGCCAAGTCTTTAGTAATCGAATCTCTTAACTACTCAAAACCATCTCAAAAAACTACATTTCCTTCGTATTTCAACCTTCTTGTGACCCAATTCTGTAACTCATTACTCATCATTTCCGCAAACGCCACCTGTTTCACTCTCCTGTTTTTCGGGTTCAATCTTTTTGATTATGGATTCGGGCTTTCGAATCCTAGATCAATTCTTTTGTTATCAGCAACAGGGGCTGTACTCTGTTCTATTATACTCGCAAACACTTTAATTATTTGTAATTTGGCATTGGTAATATCAGGAAATGAGAAAATTGGAGGATACATGGCGATTCTCAAATCTTGTGTTTTGATCAGAGGAAGAACAGCAACAGCATTATCACTAGCCGTGCCTGTAAATTTAGCTCTGGCTGCAGTTGAAGCTCTGTTTCAATACAGAATCGTAAAGGCGTATTATCAAGAAAAAACAGAGCTTTTCACTCTAGCTTTAGAAGGAATGTTCATCGCCTATATTTATTCAGTTCTTCTGGTTCTTGATACAATAGCAAGCTGTGTTTTCTACAAAAGCTGTAAAACAGAGGAAGAGGGAGTTTTTCCAATTTTGCCATTTTCGTCGATTTCGACATATCAAGATGATATTCAAGACAGAGATCAATGTATAGTTGTGAAGATAAAGACATTAGAGGAGTTCTGTTAAGTTTTTTTTTTTTTTCTCTATGTTTTCTTGATTTATTTTTCAATTGGATAATAATAAAAAAAAGGTCTGGTCTCCAAATTCCAAGGAATTTCTTGGGGCCATAATTGTACTTTTTTTTTTGTTTGTAATCTCCAAATATCCATTGATGTAAGCTTTAGAACCAGAAAGTCGCAGCTTTTCTGTATACAGTATAGATGAAATTCTTGTAAACTGTTTATATTTCAATTTGCAATGCAAAGAGAAAAAAAAACATGAATTTCTGAAATCAAGTTGACAGAGCAGTGACATTGTCATGTGGTTGGGGAGGTCATGGGTTCGAGTTGTAGAAATGGTCTCGCGCAGAAATGATGGGTAATATCTAGTTATGTCATATTCTATGGTTAATAGTATACATTCCAACAATAGTTTCAATAGACCATCGAGAATTGTAGTGGGATAAAGAGTATCTCTCTATCCTTAACCAGAAGTAGTAGTCTTTGGGTCCGAGGACTCATAATGAAAAAAACTTGGACTTCAAAACAAATATCGGACATCAAACGAGAAATCAAAAAGGTTTAGGATTGAGGCAGGTTGAAGATGATTGCTTGTCATGTACCTAAAGTTGGACGAGGTTTCACTTTGCACAACGTAGCAGTCAAGCTATATTTGTGGTCATATATGCAAAATGTAACGTCTATACTGTTTATAATTATATTTTTGCACTTATTAATTTTAGCCGTGCAAGTTAGTCAAGCTTTTTAATTATTTTTGGTTGGGTGGGGGGGAGGTGGTTAGGGTAGGACAACATTGTCTTAACTTTTAAGAGAATAGTATTTAGCAAATTTGATCACGGAAAATCATGAACTAATGCCAAAAAAAAAAAGCAAAATAAAAGACCAAATGTGAAGGGTTGAGAGTTAATAATCCTTGGACTTGTTTGTTTATTTCATTTTGGGAGTATTAACAACTTCATTTATTTATTTTTTCCAAATTGGGAGTTGGGGAGTATGAAAATTCATACAGGTCTTTGGTAAGCCAGACTCATTTATTTATGTAGTTAAAGTAATTTTTTTTGTTTTACTAGAAGGCCAAGGTTATCATTAGGAATGGGTGACCAAAAACATGCAAGTGTGATAATCAATTGTTCAAAATTTGAGCCTTGACAATGAAAAATATTTGTAGGAAGCTGACCCTAAGCTGATGGATATAAATCTGAATTATTTGGACTAGTATGTGACCTACGTTGTTATTTGTTAATCTTGAGTTGAGTAAGCCACAGCCCATCATTACTTTTTAAGTTGGTACTTTTAAGTTAAACTACCTAAAGAAGAAAAGAGGCTATGGTTTGGTTAGTAATTTGTGGGTAAACAAATTACGACTAGGTTTTAGTAATATATATATAGAGAGAGAGGGGGTAGGTCATGTGTGACACCTTAGCTTACGATACAAGTCTCACATCGGTAAAAAAAACATGAGATTGGGTATATCAGTAATCAAGCCTTATGTAATTGCACTCTGATACTATCACATTTTAAAGTCGTAAGTTTAATTGGATATAAACTTTCATTCTTTTTGTTTATGATGGCACTACCTCAAAAATGATCTTTAGCGGTAATTAATTCACGGCAATAGCTTAATTGCCACTAAATATGTACTTTTAACGGTAATTGACACTTTTTGTATATGTATCTAAAGACTTAGGGGTCGTTTGGTAGGCCGCATTAAAATAAATAATCCATGTATTATGTATGGTATTATTAAGTACTATGTTTGGTAGGAATTTAGGCCTATGTATAACTAATCCATGGATTAGTTATACCTCCTACATGGTATTATAGGGTCTATTACTAATACCTTCCATTTGGAGGTATTAGTAATACATTGGATATAATACCATGGGATAAGTCTATGTAATGACAAAAATATCCCTCAAATCATTTTAATTATTTTCTAGATTTTATGTTTTATATTTGTACTAATAAATTTATTTAATTAAATTAGCTTACAAATTATTTAGAGAAAGTTGTTTGTTACTACATAAATCCAATACAAATTAATACAATATTTGAAATGCGAGTTGCTTAACATTAACTAATTAAAAGCGGCAATATTTGTGTGGTTTCTAATTATTTGTATTTGAACAATTTATAAAATTGCATACATATTAAAACTACAACTTGCAATTTTTATGTGTAAATGTAGATTATTTATTCAGTTTTACTATTGTTTAAGTCTTTTCAATTTTAAAAGTTGATAGTTTATCTTTTGTTTTTAAATTGAAAATTGACATTTTGTAAGTAATCAATTTACTAAGATGACAATTATTTATCCTCAAATAATTTAAGTGAAAAAAAAGGCAAACATGACAACAAAATTGTTCTTCTCATAGCTAGTTACAAGGCCATAAAAAATATTGTCCGGCAATTATTTACCTTAACCTAATTACATAATAATTCGAGGGTATAATTGGAAAGGAGTTTTTTATAAAGTTTTAACCCAATTCCAAAATGGGTTGGAACCAATGAACCAAACACTTGGTAAAAATAAACCCTGCATTACTAATCTTTGCACTATTAATTCATGCATTACTAATCCCTGCATTATTCATTTTTGTACCAAACGACCTCTTAGTGACATTGGATCTAATGACAATTAACTAATGCCGATAAAGACTTTAATATACTTTGTTAATATGTGTATTTATTGCCGCTAAAAGGTATTTTTGTTATAGCGTGGGTTGATTGTAATAGATTAATTGATGATTGGAATGGTTCTCCCATTGGAGAATTAGTGTAAGTGTCACTCACAATCATTTGAATCGTGACACATGGTCTAATGGTTGTTTCTATGATGTGATATAAATTTCAAACTAAAAAAAATAAGATAGAGAGAAAGAAAGATTTTTCACAAGGTAAAAAATGACAACTCAATTAATATTTGATGCAATTAAAGTTTTTTTATTGAAAAGAAATTACTTCTCATAAACAATAATTTGGGTCGAGAAAATAATCTAAGAGAAAAGTATCACAGTAATTGTAGTTTATTAATTTCAATTTAATGAGTGTTACAATCCTTACAAATTCTATAATTCTTCTTTTCTAATTACAAATTTATGGAGACTTGATCTTGATCTTAAATTCAGTGGACTTGATCTAGTCTTGTGCTTGAATGAAGGGTCGGTAATTTAATTTTTATTATATTTATTGTATAAGAATTTCTTATTTTTATTTCTCTATTTTTTTTCCACTTCAAAATTATCTTGAGAGTACATTAATTTTTTTTATTTACAACTCTAATTTATCTTTAAATAATTATATTTTAATATACTTAATTTCAAATATACCTCATACAGAATATAAGCGTGAAATATACATATAAAGAATAGGAGGTGCAAATGTTTGATTTTAAATATAGGAGATGCATTAGAATTAATTGATCCATATTATGAGGGTGATTAGTGTAATTAATCCTAATCAAAAATTACTTTGAAGCATTCAAGTCATGCTTTTTGAGAAGCAGAAAATTAGGAGGTAAAGTAATAAGAATAGTATTAAAAGAAAATAATAAATTTCTCTTGATTTTTTAAAAATTAACAAGTAAAGAAAAAACTATTTTACATGGAGAAAGTAAATATACTATATTATTCATTCATGGTGAAGCTTTGATCTAGTAATTAATAAGATATGATCTTCTTGCTATAAATTTAAGACACATTTGACTAAAGTTGGATTAATAACTTCAAATCAAATTACATGAATCTAGTAATAATGTTTGGTCAATTTTTAAAAATCTATTTATATCAAAAAATATTTTTTGTTAGAAGTACTTTAAAAAAATAATGACTCGTTATACCAACTTTCCCTTGATTCTCATTCTTGTTGTGTCTTTAACTTTGTCTCAATTTTCATTTTATTCTATTGCTGATTCACCTACACCAAAGGTTCATTTTATTGATGATTTGCCTAATCTTAATCCAGTTGTGAAAATTAATTGTGTTGTTGGAGGTGGTACAACTATGGTACATAAATATGAAGAATATTCATTTGATGCTGGTATTACTACTAGATTATATGCTTGTTATGCTATATGGAATGATTCAACAACTAGAATCACTGCATATGATCCATTTAAGGTAGACAAAGGTCAACCCATTGTCCATTGGTCTATTCGAGATACTGGATTCTGGAAGAGTTTTGACAATCGTAATTGGAACTTTTATGAAAAATGGTTCCCCAACTAGTAAAACGAGTTTTAATTATATATATCGAGATGAAATTTTGATTTTTTTTTTAGAATGAAAAATTAGTTTGTGTTTGAATCAAGGAGACGAGTGGTTTCTTTCTTGAAGAATTCTATGTTGTTACTTGTATTCTCTCTATTAATTGTTTAAATTTTTATTTGCTTTTTGTTATTATCCTAAATTATTGTTACAATTACTCGTTTTAAAGTAGTAAGATCTAGACTCGGAGCGAATAATATCATTAGTGACTAAGGAATGCATTTCTTATTTAGTTAAAGATCAAATTAGTCAAAGAATAAAGGGAATTTTTTTCCTTTGATAAGAGAGTTGGAAGTAAAATGAAATGGAGAAAGCAAATACTATATTATTCATTCATGGTGAAGCTTTGATCTTAGTAATTATAATAATTAATAAGATATGATCATCTTGTTATAAATTTAATACATATTTGACTAAAGTTTGATTAATTCTTTCAAATAAATTTACATGAATATAATTATAATGTTTGGTCAACTTTTCAAAATAATATTTTAGTATTTTGAAAAAAAACAATGACTTGTTTAATTATATATGTCGAGACGAAATTTTAATATATATTTTTAATGAAAAATAAGCTCGTGTTTGGAACCATACATGATACATGGGAAAGTGGCTTTCTCCCAAACTTTTAGAATGACAATTTAAGAATTATTTCTTCCTACAATCAAAAGTCAGTTATAACTGAAACCCTTCTTGCAGTCTGCAGGTGTGGTTAACTTTCTATATAATTTACTCCCTCCCTTCGTTTCATATTAATTGATATAAAAAGTATTAATCGTTATCATATTAAATAGACAATAATTGGTTAAGTGATGATTGGAATGGTTTTCCTATTAGAGAGTCATGTGAATATCACTCACGCTCATTTGGATTGTGACAAATGATCTAATGATCGTATGATGTACTTTTCAAACTAAGAGAGATGGAGAGAGAAGGTTTTCGCAAGGTCAAAAATAACAATTCAATTAACATTTGATTCTATTAAAAAAAAATACTTTACTGTATAGAAGTTGCTTCTCATAAATATTAAATTCGCATCGAGAAAATAATTGAGAGGAAAAAAAATATAACAAAAATCGTGATATTTTTTTTCAACTTTATGAGTGTTATAATCTTTACAAATTCTATGATTCTTCTTTTCTAATACAAATTTAAGAATATTTGATTTTGACCTTAAATTCTGTGGACTTGATCTAATCTTGTACTTGAATGCAGGGGTTTACAATTTGATTTTTATTATATTTATTGTATATGAAATCTTATTTTTATTTATTTATTCTTCCACTTAAAAATTCTCTTGAAATTACACCAAAAACTTTTTATTTACAACTCTAATTTGTCTTTGAATAATTATATTCAATATATAAGACTTCATTTTAGATATACCTCATACAGAGTGTAAGCTCAAAATGTACATACAAAGAATAAGAGGGCAAAGTGTTTGATTTTAAAATATAGGGGATGTATTTGAAATTAAGTCATATATTAGAGTATTTAGTGTAATTAACCCTAATCAAAATATAGTATTATAACATAGTCTCATAAAAGAACGGCATCTCAAAACATTTATTTATTTATTCTAGAAAAAGATGTATATCATAAAGTTTGAAACTATTTTAAAGCATTAAAATAAAGTATTCAAGTCATGCTTTTAAAGAAGCAGAAAATTAAGAGGTAAAAGTTATAAATGATAAGTATAGTTTGAAATAAAATTCTAAAATTTTCTTGATTTGCTAAAATAAACAAATATAACAGAAAAAAATTATATCAAATGTAAAAGCCAGTAAAATAAAATGAAGTAAATACTATATTAATCATTCATGGTGAAGCTTTAATGTAATAATTAATAAGATATGAAATTCTTGTTATAAATTTAAGACATATTTTGACTAAATGTTACATGAAGCTAAATATAATTTTTAATCTAACTTTGTAAAATCTATTTATTTCGAAAAGTGTTTTTTTTATCAGAAGTACTTTTAAAAAGAATAATGACTCATAAACTAATAAATTTCTCTTGATATGTTAAAATAAACAAGTGAAGAATTTTTTTATTTTTTTTAATATAAGAGCCAATAAAAATAATGGAGAAAGTAAATACTATATTATTCATTTATGGTGAAGTTTTGATCTAGTAATTAATAAGATATGATCTTCTTGCTATAAATTTAAGACATATTTGACTAAAGTTGGATTAATTCTTTCAAAACAAATTACATGAATCTATTAATAATGTTTGATCAATTTTTAAAAATCTATTTATATCAAAAAATATTTTTTGTCAGAAGTACCTTAAAAAAACAATGACTCGTAATACCAACTCTCCCTTGTTTCTCATTCTTGTTATGTCTTTAACTTTGTCTCAATTCTCATTTTATTCTGTTGCTGATTCACCTAGAAAAAGCATTCATCTTATTGATGATTTGCCTAATCTTAATCCAGTTGTGTCATTTAGATGTGAATTAGGTAAACTCCCTGGAGTTGATGCAACTTTAGTACGTAAATATGAAGAATATACATTTGATTATGGTACAACTAATGAATATTATAAATGTTTTACTTTATGGTATAATTCAACTGCCAATTTCACTGCATATGATCCAAATGAAGACAAAGGTCGTCTCATTGTCCATTGGTCCATTCGAGATACCGGATTCTGGAAGAGTTGGGACAATCGTAATTGGAATTTCATTACAAAATGGATCCCTAGATAGTGAAATGAGTTTTAGTTATATATGTCGAGATGAAATTTCAAATTATTTTCTTAATGAGAAATTAGTTTGTGTTTGAATTAAGGGTATGAGTCATGAGTGGTCTCTTTTACGAAGAATTCTTTGTTTTTTTTTGGCTATGTTTGTTATGTTGTTACTTTTATTTATCTTTTTATTCATTTGAATTTTTATTTACTTTTTGTTATTGTCCTAAATTATTGTTCTCAAGACATAAAATAAATTATCATTTTTAAAGTTGTAAGGATCTAAATCCGGAACAAACAATATCACTAGTGGCTAAGCGATACGTTTCTTATTTAGTTAAATATCAAATTAGTTAAAAGAACATTAAAGGATTTTTTTTCCTTTGATAAGAGAGTTATTAATCATTCCTTGCTTTGTTTGGAACCATACATGATACATGGGAAAGTGACTTTCTCCCAAACTTTTAAAGTGGCAAATTAACTGAAATCCTTTTTGCACGTGTGGTCAACTTTCTACGTCTGTCTGTTTCATATTAGTTGATTGTTTTTCTTTTCATACGTATATTAAAAAATCATAAATAAAAAAATAATTTTAATTATTCATCCCTTAAAAAACTTCTTGTTCTGATTTTTGTTGCTCATGACCTTTTTTAAGAAAGCAGCACCAACATTTTGTATTTCTTGAAAATGTTATAATAACTTGAGTAACTTTAGTGATACGAAAAAACAAATTTGTGATTTTAATCATACAATTTGACAAATTCAATGACCACAAATTTATGAGTAATTGTCAAGAAGGCTTGTGTTACTAAAAAAATGAAGATATCAGAATATTTTCCAAAATTTGTATTTAGGAAAGGGGAACTAATCCTAAAACCTACATATTGATACAATACTATTTGTTAATAGAATCTATCTATATCCTCTCCTATACTGCTTTCTGTACAATCAATTTCGTGGCAGGTTCCCATCAAAACTGACACAATAGGAAACCCCTTTTTTCTATGTTACAATGAAAAGAATTAACTTTGAATCTAGATATACTGGTTAGGCTTTATACAAACTGATGTTACACTTCTAATTTACAGTTGGCATGGCGTAAGGGCGGTCATTGGTAAACACTGGACATTGTGGCAACACCGAGTCCAGCATGTTGGCTCTATCCATATCCGCGCTCTTGATTGCAGCATCTGTTTAATCATGTAGCAAGTTTCTCCAAGTTTGGATAGCATTCATGATCACCTGGCAATAACAAAAATTCAAGGCGATCAATTTATGGAGCGACAGTTGCTTGCATCATCCAAGAGCCCCGACAATGATGTGTCCGGTTCAGCTTCCTATCTGCAAAGCATTCACTGCACTCTGGTTTACAAGCCTCAACATTCTTTCTTGAATCCAAAGAATGCCAAAGCACTTACATTAGGAGCCTTCTGGTCTGTCTTCGGTAGATATCTTCAGTTAACATGGTCAACCAACAGACAGATCGTTCGACACCTATTCCCTGAAACAATGAAATCATTCCCAATTCACTTGAAACCCTTCTTATTGAGATTAACTCCTTTGGCGTTCTCCATTTCCTCCTTCTGAACTTTCTTCCTTTCTAATTCAGCCTGCTTCAAGTTCTCTTCGTGGGCTTTGCGGAACAGCCTCACAAAATTTAAGAGGGTTGCCGTGACTGTACAGTGTCAAACAGATGCACAAAAAACAAACAGATCCATCAGATGCAACTCCAATTGAAGTAAAATGCAGTAATATGTACACGTACTTAAGTAATCATTCACACATAGCAACAAAAAAAAGGTGATTCATGCTTCATTCATGTACAGAGAACAATTCTTCTTAAGAGACTTGTTTATCTCTGGACAGTAAGCTCGCAGTGGTTTCAAGGAGACATGCGTTTGAAAGTGATACCTAGTTAGAAAGTACTAGATGGCAAAGACATGAGGAAAATATAGAATGGTCATAAAGGACAAAATAAACACTTCACACAAAACGACAGCTTAAGCTCTATCTCATATTACTATACCCTCAGACACTGGAAACCTTGATGAGGAAGACTCTCATATGTATCCCAGATCAATCAAATCTCGTAAAATTAGCATACTGATTATCAATTCCAGCTCTAACAAAGAGCTAAAAAAAATGCAGTCATATCTTTCCATAAAATTGTGGAGCAGTTACTATGTCTAAGAGGATTAACACTAGGCTAACTTTAACACACCTAATTCACATCTTGTAGTTAGAATTGAAAATGACTAAGTCATTGAAGGCAACAAAGCATAGTTCAAAACTCTTGAAGGAGACAACTTTCATCCGCTCAATTTTGCTAGCAGTGTGGAGGGGATTAAAAGTATATTGTACATATGCTACCTTGCTCAAATGGACAACGAGCAGGATCCTCACCGAAATATAGTGCAAGTGCATCTGCATTTCTGCCCTGTGCAAGGTATGACAATTAAACATTATATTGGCACATAGGAAGATGACTTTGCAACATAATATAACAAAGATATAATAAAACACGAAGGAAATTACCGCAACAGAATATAAATCCTTGACAGAGTCAACCTGTGCTTCAGCCACACCAACGAATTCCTTTAAGGTCTGATTTGTAAGACAAAAGAACAAACCTATAAGGGACAAAAAAATTGTTCTTTTTCCCCCTTTTCATTGAGGGAGGGGGTACACTTATGTCTTTCAGAGAATGATAATGATAATAATGTGCACAGAAACTTAGTACACTTTAAGAAACAATAGAAATAGAGCCTTGATGTGCTTATTGAATGATTCCATCACCTTTTTGTTAGATGAATAAAGGAAAAAGAGGAGACAAAAGGTAAATAAAGTCATCCAATTTCCAGAGATAGAAGAGGTGGCACAGGAGTTCAGACTCTTTTCATCAAAAGATACATGGAATTTTACTGCAGCAGCTTTATGCCATAGTGAAGTAAAAATATATCTTGATTCACAATCTATCCATCAGATCAAGAAATAATCAAATAAAGATATTAAGAATCGGAGGAAAATATAAGATACAAAACTGAGACAATTGCTTCAGAAGCAGATCTTTTCATTAATTTTTTTAATCTCACAAGACATTAGGAGGATATTTGTAGTCCTAAAAATTATGTCCGAGCAAGAAGTGACGTCTTAACCTGATGATCAAAGGAGTGCTCTCAGACATCCTAACACCCATGTAGGATAGTTGCACATATAAACACATAAAACATAGACAGTTGAAAAGAAATACAACCACCACAATACCTTGCGAAAAATTTCAGACACAGGGCCATCAGTCTCCGAAGCCTCCAGTTCTTTTTTAACTTTTTCCAAACCCTTGATGATTGCTTGCATTTCTTCAGCCAAAGACTTCAATTGTATCTGCAAGAAGAAACGAATTTCTCACCAATCCTGATAAATTTAAAGATATATAATCATATAGAGATAAGACAAGTAACCTTTGACGCAGCTTCCAGGCTTACAAGATCTACGTGAAAGTCTAAAAGTGATGGTGACTTGGAAGCAAGAACCTAAGAAAAGAAAAGCAATTAGATATTAAGAGGCCTTTTACATTTATCAATTAGATAACATATTCAGGTAGATAAACAAATAAGTAAAATTAAAGAAAATACTTCTCAGCTACAGAAATGTTCAGACAACTGAGAAAAGAGGCATCTTATGCCAGGAGAATAAAACTAAGAATAGAAGGAACGGCTACCTCAAAATCCTTTACAAACAAAAGAGTGTCTCACCGATGTGTAAGGAGAAGTAACCTTTTAAAAATGTGCCTTAGTTTAAGAACTTTTCCAATAGTGTTACACATAATCAATCTTGCACCAAATAATGCCTAAAACTGTAGCACTTTGGCAAGATGCAGCAAACTATCAGAAGCCAAGGTCAAGGTCTTTGAAGGAATAATTTGTGTTTCATATTTCCAAAATATACTTCCCAAGCGGACCATCTATAGAAAGTAAGATCACATTTGAGCACTTATTTACTGGAATAGAGACATCAAATATTTATTTACTTAATTACATAATATCTCAACAAAGGGAAGTTCAAAGTTAAATTGTTTGTAAATATAGAAAGATATCATTCTTTTGGGTCAGACTATAAATAAAGAAGTACCACATAAATTGGACGAGGCCGTACTAACTATGAATAGGTATATAGCTAGATATATCATTTATCCTTTTTGGTCTTTAATGTGGTACAAAGTAAAACTGAATACTATCCACATTATTGGGACTAGGCTGTACTTCAATTTTCTTTCAGTGCCACGTCTAACATGTAAAATGCTTGTAACTTAAAATGAAGTATACATGATGTCATTTTCAACCTCTATAGCAATCCCAATGAAATGTACACACTTGCATATATAATTAACAAAATAGAAAAACCGCACATGCATCAAATTGATCAATCTTCTTGCACTGGACTTTCCTCACAGCATTTCTAACAAAGCACTAATGTTAAAATGATGAAACATTTTCATTTCATAGTCCATAGTAGGAGCTGCTTGCAAATCAACACGTCTTTCCAGAATCTCATCTTTTCAATCCTCTGAAGATAGTCTTTTCACATTGCTTTTCAGACAGTCAACCGGTGAAAAGGAAAATTAAAGGAAGCATTAAAGAAATTCAACATCACCACTGTTTTCATGAGGTGACATTGCTGAAAAGCATAATATAAGGGTACCATTTCTCTAAGTATAGAAATTGGAAAGAAGGCTGAAATAGTAAACATAATCACTTCGAAACAGAAAAAGTGAAACTGAAAGACTCATCCACACCTTACAAAGATAATGCATGAGTGTCATCTTGTTGTTAGTAGCACGAGTATCAGTGAGCTTCAAAAGACTGTCCAACTTAAATCCAATGGCAGAACCTGAATAAAAGAAAATTCCCGAACTTAGCGCTGGAATTCTAAATCAAAATTTTGAACTGCTTGAGCACGTACATTACAGAATCCATAGTATGAGATAAGGTCCTTAAGAACTATTTAGAACTAATTTATATGAAAAAGAACAAGCTCCATTGAAATAAACATAATATATCGAGCAAGATGTTATAGACAAACAAATACCAAGAAACTGAATTATCCATGTCAAGACACACAACCTTACTATCACTTATATGTAAGAACATATGCTTTAGTTTTCCAGATTTTCAAAATGCGAAAATCATCTAGCTCATGACCAAAACTATTGAGCAAAATTTGTTAACCCTCTAGTTCCATCAGATAAAACAATGTGTTGGTCCTCTAATTGATTTGAAACAGCTAAAAAGTGAGGTAACATAGTTCATTTATGAATCAACAGAAAAGTATTATTTTATCTGACGATTAAGAGCCTGTTCGGATGGGCTTATAGCTTATAAGCAAAAAGCCATAAGTTAAATTTCTAACTTATGGCCTTTGGCTTATATTTGTTACTTTGGCTTTAAAACAAATGCTTAAAAGCACTTTTAAATTGTATCTGAACACTACAAAAGATGCTTAAAAGCTATTTTGATTTAAAAGCACCTAAAATAAGCCAACCCAAACAAGATCCAAGTCCATGAAGGAATAACGTAAGCCAGGCACAACTTGTAACTGATAGCAATGGTCCATTTGGTACCCATTTTAGCAATTTTACTCGTCATCTAAATAAATAGTCTAAGCAGCATATATTCTATACTAGTAGTCCGCACATTGATGAATCTCTCAATTTATCTGAACTTCTCGTATGCAAAATTAACAAACTTTAACAAAAAAGAATCAATTTTGTGACTTTATTAACTTACCTAAGCAATCCACCACTTTCAGGGTAAAAGATTGTGTCCCACTCACTTCAATAGTAAACTTACAATAGACAATTGAAACCTCTAGTTGTGGTATTTCTCCTAGTTTATCTTGTCGGGCAATCATTGTATTTAATTTATAAATTTGAAAAGCCACAAGTTCCACATAGAGGCAATAGAATTTGTCATACATATTTATCAAACTTTCCCGGTCAGAAAGCTGAGATTTTGAAGAATTATACGAGGGATGGAGATTCTTACCTCTGGCAGTTCCCTGGTTCAATGCATTCCCTAGATACAATATTTTCTTCAATATTTCCTTCAATTTAAGAGAATGTCGGACCTGCTACAAGCAAACTGAGTTATGCTAAGAAAACAGGGAAAATAAAGAAATTAAATATAGAACCTAGAGAAGTACCTCTTCACAAGCAGAGTTCACTGTGTTCAAGCTTTTTTTGAAGTCCGTGACCTGAGATAAAGTTAATTTCAGATGATAGAAGATACTTATTTCAGAAGATTACTAGATGCAAACAAACCTGAGAGTTGAACTGGATCTTGAAGAGAAAAACTCTTAGTTTTGACTCTACTCGGGGCACCTTCATGAGCTCCAGAAAAAACTGGAAGACACACAATATCAGAAATACCACCAATAAGATTGAGCAATAAGGTAGTATCATATCACCCTGAGAAACAGTTATTATTCAAATCATTAAAACATAAAAGAGCCATCAAGGCAGGGAAAAGATCCCATGGTTACAAGTATTTTCTGAACAAGGGTAATGGAACAAGCAAATCTAACATCAACCAAACCAAAAGCATTCAAAATATTCTACAGAAAGACAACAATACAACAGGGTACAATTCATTATCATGAATATCTGATGTGTGCCGGCCTCTCAAATTAGTTTTCTCTGAGACTGAATATTTTTTTGAAACTGAAAAAAAATGGCAAAAATATTCAGGTGTCTCGGAGAAATTAATTTGAGACGCTGAATATAAAAATGCCATAATTTCTCATCTGGAATAGCACAGGATGTCGTGATGGATAGAAGCTAAATTTAGTTTGCTTCTCATTTTGTGTGGTATCACAATTTTTGGTTCTTGTGGTGGTGGTTTGATAGATCAGACACAAAACACCTACTTGTAATTAAGTAAACAGGTTATACACAGAGTGATACAAGGTTGAAACTAAGTAGGCATTGGCCATATATTCCAAGTATTTTTCGTTCTTTTTTTTTTTTTGGAATTGTAGTTGAAGATGGATGCACACCTGCAGCTTAGCACGGACAAAACCTTAGACAGGAGGGCATAGGGGTCGAGGATTAGGGTAGAGGTTCGTAGCTAGTCGAGTGTTGTCTAGTTTCCCTTATCAGTATTGTTACTATTATTACTCTCCTACTATCTTTTTTTTTTTTTTTTTTGATTTGCACCGGGTGTCCGAGTCTCTTTGAGCCCCGACTAATCCCGGGGGTGCACAGGCCCTCGGCAAGGAGTTTCCCGCAAGTGCACCACGGTTAATTCAGGTTTTTACCCAGTCCGATGGCCCTCAGAAATTGTTTGCACCCAGTGGGTTTCGAACTTGAGACCTTGAAAGGGAGCAAACCCCAAGGCTCAAGTCAATTGCCAGCAGGCCAACCCCTGAGGGTTATTACTCTCCTACTATCTTATTCTTCTTAGTTCTTACCTGTGGGATTATAACTGGACTGCAGTTGCCAAACTATATAGGTGTGAAGTAACCATGCAATTATTTTAATTTTTGGGTTTCAACACCCTCAATGTACACAATATATTCAACCTTGCACCCTGGTTCACCTAACTTTCTCTTAAAATCTGGAATGGCCAAACCTTTCCTCACTCAAGCACTAATCCATTCCTCATCTTGAACATTGTGCCATTAAAGATACAAACAAGTATCAAATTTCCATGCTTTCTCAATCAAATAGCAGAAGAGGCTGAACCTCAACGTTGTCACTTGACAGACCTTTGCTAAGCTTGAACATTTGCCATTAAAGACAGTCTTACAAGCAAGCAACAGTGTCTACTTCCATGCTTTCTCTATGAATACCAGAAGATGTGAACCTCCTCCTCAGTAATTTTTTTTTTATGACAAGGGAAACCCGCAGCCGCTACCCTTTGGGTGAGCACAGGGTAAAATCCCCGCTCCTATGCAATAGCTTGCAAACCACATAGGAGAGGTAACCCGCACTGGGCAAGCCCGGTGCGACGAGCTCGACCTAGAAGGCAAACCCCTTGCTTTCGATGACAAGGGGTTTCGAACTTGAGACCTCCAACATGGAAGTCCCAAGCCCGAACCACTGGGCCACCCCGAAGGTTCTCCATCTCAGTAATTATTATTAGAGGAGTAAGAAGAATTACCAAAGAACTACCCCTAATTAGTAATAACCAAATCATATATCAATGTCAATTTGCACATACCTACCATTGAGAAGGAAAGTCCTCTTAAAAATATTTATCATCCAAAAGAGAAGCAGAAGGGAAATTTGAATTTATTGATGCTGGCTAATGGTAAAACAAGCCTTTTGTTAGTGAGATTGCACTACTTTTAAATTGTAACTCAACGGCACCTACCAAGGCTAAACCTAAAATAAGACCAAGGTCCATGCATCAGATAAAAACTCACAAGCACTATTGGGCATCAATTTTAATTGCCAAATGTAGCTGCTGCAAAATATTCAGATGTTCTCCCTGTTTTTTACTATACAAAAGTACATATGACAACATATCACAGTAAAGAATGGAACTTGCAAATGAAGAATATCAATCAAAGAGCAAAACTGAAACATCCAGGGACTCAGGAGACAACTATAAGAACGCGATTGACTAACCTGTTCACACTTCCCCAGAAGATCCATGTCGCCAGTGTAATTCTGAGCAGTTGTAATAGCAAACATTTAGCAGAAATAAAAGTGAAAAAGTCAATTGGTAGAGGAGCCAGAGGAAAAGGAGCAAGAAAACAAAGTTACAGCCAATAGAAAAGCAGCAGAGTACGTAAGTTCACCTTGAGAAGTTCCATCTCATCTTTGGTAGGACAAAACTTGATAAGATTCTCCACCTGATCAGCATCTAAAATTGACTCATCCATTGCAAGGGCAGCGGCCTACAGACAACCAACAACCATACTGAAGTTTTTTGATAATGTCAGGTAAACCAACCACCATACTTTATTAGGTGAGCGATAGAAAGCAAGCAAGCATGTTGAGAACATAGAGAACATCAAACAAACTAGAAAGAATATTCAAGAATAAAGATATCACCTAGGTCTACCAAATACATCACAGTAAGAACTAGCTGCTAGATCCACCAAATATGACCCTGTAACTATCCACAAGGAACACCACATGGTGAATAATTCATTACTAATACTTCTGCTATCCTTTTCACCTAAATTTGAGGTTCTACAAACCTTTGGCTTACAAAGGGCAGGCTCTAACAGTCTAACCTGAATCTTTCCACATTGTTTATGCTAAAATAGAGCGAAAAGAAATAGCAGAAAAATGCAGGTCCTCTAACAGCAAGGGAAGTATTACAAGGACTAAGCATCTTTCCTTTGTCCTGGACCATTAGAACCACAATAAAGCATCTCAGTTAACAATGGACAGCTACAGCCACATACCACATTTTTCAAGCGGAGATTCCAACAGCATGAGAAATTCTACTACTCTTACTTCATGTGTATTGTTAATATTATCCAAAAAATAAGTCAATTTTTATTTTTTTTTAAATTATCCAGAAAAAAAGTATACTGTCATATGTTTTCAGTCTTAACATCCTTTGCGACATAAATTGACATAGAATGGTGGTTCGAGTGGGCCCTTGACATATTATAAAACATTACACAATTTAGGTGTAAGGCTGCGTACTCACCACCCTCGCCAGACCCCACTTGTGGAATTTCACTGTTGTTGACTTCTTCTTGTTGTTTCCACAATTTTAAATTTAACAAGAAATAAGGGCTTTCTCATGTGTATTCCAAGCTAACATGGAAGCGGATTTTACAACTTTTAGGATTCAAGCTCCTCCTATCTCAGAACACAGTATATAATTCTTGGCTGTAGTCTGAACAAGCTAACAATCAGGATCTTATCATTCTGCAGCGATCAGGAGAGGATGTTTCTATTTGGAAAAAAGAACCAAAAAAAGGCCTATTTGAAAAGGAAAACAAAGAAGAAAGAAATATTGGAGAGAATAACATCAAACTTACCATCATGTCAGGCAGTGGCATTTTCACCTTTGTGAGCATAATTTCAGTATTATTTGCCCTCCTCAAGTCAACCTATCAAAAAAAAATTACTTAAAGAAGAGACGTTGAACTTACAGAAAACAAGAAAATGGAATTCCTTCAACCACCAAAATTAAACACGCATGTAAAGCCACTACAAGCATTCATCTAGCAGGTACCAAGCAAAGGTAAAAAGAAACATGAAATGAATGTATCAAGTAGAAGCAGGAAAGATTACAAGAACAAAGAATTGGGTCAGTAACACTCAGCACTCATATTGTTATATCATATTGATTACCAGGTGAACCCTGTCAGGTTTAGACCCAACAGACTTCCTTCTCCCTCCAGATTTACCCGCATTATCTGACTTGGGGACTATAGCAGAGAAAAGAGTCTCAAGTTCTGAAAAATCAAATTCTGGTGACCTAGATTTGAAGCAAAAATATTAGTAATTTGATTGAGTAGAGTATAAGCAATGTCAAACTTCAAAAGCATGAAACATACAATTGAGTCTCTCCATTTCTTTGTAGTTCATCCCATAAGCTTCCTTGAAGTGCCCTAGTTACCTTGCTCCAATGCAACGGCTTTAAGTTAGATCTTCGTGGGGCTACACCACCAGCTGCGCGTGAAAATCCCTGCCCTCTCCCAGCAGGAAGGCCTCTGCCAACTGCAGGTCCTTTAGAACCAAACGGTGGTGGTGGGGGAGGTCCACCACCTGGAGGTCTTGGAGCTCCCGGTGGAGGAGGTGGACCAGGTGCGCGTCCTCCCGGAGGGGGTGGGGGAGGTGGACCAGGTGCACGACCTCCAGGAGGAGGAGGAGGCGGTGGAGCTCCACGTATTGGTGGAGGTGGTGGAGGAGGTGGACCAGGTGCGCGTCCTCCCGGAGGAGGTGGGGGAGGTGGACCTGGTGCACGCCCTCCAGGAGGGGGTGGGGGAGGTGGACCAGGTGCGCGTCCTCCCGGAGGAGGTGGGGGAGGTGGACCTGGTGCACGCCCTCCAGGAGGGGGTGGGGGAGGTGGACCTGGTGCACGCCCTCCAGGAGGGGGTGGGGGCGGTGGAGGTGGAGCAACTTGGGAGGTATGTAGGATTCGTGGGGAAAGAGTAGGAGGTGTAGGAGGAGGAGGTGGTGGAGGAGGTGGACCAGGTGCACGCCCTCCAGGAGGGGGTGGGGGAGGTGGACCAGGTGCACGACCTCCAGGAGGAGGAGGAGGCGGTGGAGCTCCACGTATTGGTGGAGGTGGTGGAGGAGGCGGGGGAGGAAGAGAATAGCCAGTACGCATAGGAGGAGGAGGGGGGGGAGGGGGAGGAGGGGGAGGAGGTGGCAGCGATGTGGAACCCCCAAAGCTAGCCAATCCTGGTAAATTGGATGTGTATATAGGAGGAGGTGGAGCTCCAGGCAATGGAGGTGGTGGTGGTGGTGGGGGCGGTGGAGGTGGAGCAACTTGGGAGGTATGTAGGATTCGTGGGGAAAGAGTAGGAGGTGTAGGAGGAGGAGGTGGTGGAGGAGGCGGGGGAGGAAGAGAATAGCCAGTACGCATAGGAGGAGGAGGGGGAGGAGGTGGCAGCGATGGGGAACCCCCAAAGCTAGCCAATCCTGGTAAATTGGATGTGTATATAGGAGGAGGAGGAGGTGGTGGAGGAGGCGGGGGAGGAAGAGAATAGCCAGTACGCATAGGAGGAGGAGGGGGAGGAGGCAGTGGAGCTCCACGTATTGGTGGAGGTGGTGGAGGAGGCGGGGGAGGAAGAGAATAGCCAGTACGCATAGGAGGAGGAGGGGGAGGAGGTGGCAGCGATGTGGAACCCCCAAAGCTAGCCAATCTTGGTAAATTGGATGTGTATATAGGAGGAGGAGGAGGCGGTGGAGGCCCCCGCATAGGAGGAGGTGGAGCTCCAGGCAATGGAGGTGGTGGTGGTGGAGTTGGCGCTCTAGAAAAAGGAGGGGGAGGGGGAGGTGGCGGAGTTGGCGCTCTAGAAAAAGGAGGGGGAGGGGGAGGTGGCGGAGTTGGCGCTCTAGAAAAAGGAGGGGGAGGGGGAGGTGGCGGAGTTGGCGCTCTAGAAAAAGGAGGGGGAGGGGGAGGTGGTGGAGTTGGCGCTCTAGAAAAAGGAGGGGGAGGTGGTGGAGATGGTGCAGATTGAGTGTTGTATAAAGGAGGGGGAACGTAGGTTGAAGGAGGTGGTGGTGGTGGGGGCGGTGGAGGTGGAGCAACTTGCGAGGTATGTAGGATTCGTGGGGAAAGAGTAGGAGGTGTAGGAGGAGGAGGTGGTGGAGGAGGTGGAGGTGGAGGTGGAGGTGGTGATGAACTAGATACTACTTCTGAGGTAGTCCCATACCCCATCCAAAGGGGTGGTGGAGGGACCCTACCAACATTTATTACACTGGATGATGAGGGCAGAGGTGGAGGTGGTGGTGGTGGGGGAGGAGAAAAGGCACCCAGTGAAGTCATCCTCGAGCTAGTTAATGGTGGAGGCGGAGGGGGTGGGGGAGGTGGAGGAGGTGAAAATGACCGGATGTTACTTGAAAGTGACAGGGATGGCCTGCACAAAGGTGGCTGGGAAGGTGCGGCCAGAGCAGGTGAAGAATAAGGGTTCGTCTGAGTCAAAGAAAATGTCGTAATATTGCTCCCCTGTGAAGACAAAGCTGAAGTCGCTGATGGTGAATTAGTTCCTGCTACCTCAGTATCAGAAGTTTCATGAGATGAAGTGATTGGAGATGGCGAAAGAAGCGGACTCGGAGGAGATGGATGAAGCTGAAGGGCGTGGCTTTCAACTGATTCTGGGGCAGACATTGTAGCAACAGATCCCTCAACCATTGACATACCCGATGCAGAACATGAAGAGTCTTTCCCTGAAACACGACCTGCTTCAGCAGAAGCTATAGCTTCTGAAGAAGCTTGAGGAGATGGTGACTTTGATTTAACCCCAGATTGAAAATCCTTGGTGAGAGCAAGCACAGGAGGAGCACTGTTATACCTTGATGGTGGATACGATACATGCATTGAACTAGTGTAAGAACCTTTGTTGGGAGGGATCCACCGGGACACTGCATTAGGCTTTGCCGGTCGTAAAACAGTGCCTTGGATTTCCTGCTGTTTAGATTTATTTTTCGGACCTACGCCATCAGTGGCAGGTTTAGTGTTGGAGAACAATTGTTTCTTTAGAGATGAGGCTGTCTTGTCACTTTTTTGTTTATTAGTATCAGCACTCACCTTCTGTTGCGAACCTTCCCTCTCTAACTTCTTCTGTCTCAGAGTGTCTTCTTTATCTTGCTTTAGCTCCCCATTTTCTGATGCAACACAATCCCCAGATATTACCTGTTCTGATTCCATGTTGCTAGTACCATTGGAAACTACAACCTTGGAGGGTATAGAGTTGTCTCTATCTCCTAAAATATTTTTTTCTGATGCAGAGCGATTAGAATCAATCTTTCCTTCTTGCTTGTGATTTACTTCGTCTGATGCACAATCTTGAAATGCATGATGTTCCACCTCCTCTTTCCAGATCATTTCAATACTATCATCATCCAGCAAACTTTCCTTGACAATGTGGGCTCCAGATTCCCCCCTTCCATCCTGCCCATCAGCGGCATTGCTGAATATCTCTTCGACTTCAAAAAACTCCTCAGGTGAAGCACCTTCAGTCCCATTCTCATCCTCACTTGGCACTTCTTCAGTGACAACAGATGGAACAGCATCAGGATCCGAAAAGTGTACCTGGTACAGATATGAGTATTCTTCAACTTCACAATTTCATAGTAGATATTTAAGGGGGAACTAAGATCTAAAGTGAGAAATAAATACCAGACCTCTGCTTTGAACCCTCTAGGAAATTGGTCTTTTGCATCCCATAGGACATCAACATCATCACGCATTAACATCAAAACATTTGAGCGAATAAATGTGGTGTGGAACATGACCCTGAACATCATTTCTTCCCTTACTAGGTCATCTTCCAAATGGACACACTCGAGAACAACATCTCCTTGGACACGACAATGGATGTCAATTTTCACCATTGAACACTCTTCCTGCAGTGAGGAATTAGCAGACTACTTGAGATTTCAGCTAACTTATCTTCATAAAAAGTCTCAACTTTAAAGCTGGGAATTACCTGTTGGTAGAAGCGAGCATGTTTTTTTGTCTTTAGAGTTGAAAAGAGGAGCTTAGAGCTCCTATTCGAAGTTGTTGAAGCAGGGTCCTGTCCATAGACGCGAAGTACAGGTCGACAGCCTCTCCCTCTATCAAATAGAGGAGGAAAACTAAGTATGATGCAATCTAAGGCAAAAGGTGTATCTGATGGCAGCCATTCTGAACCAAAATTTTTTCTGGAGATGTACTGGAGATATCTAAGCTGAGATGGCTGTGGATTCAGAGGTGACAAAAGATGGAGCAGCTCCCTAGGGGCCTGCTTGTATACCATTTCAAGAGTTTTAAGTTCACCAGTGTACTGTTTTCGGTACAAAAGAAGGCCAGCAAGCATAAAAGCGAGTACAGGCCAGCCTCCCCTCTCACAGTGCATTAACAGGACGTTTTGCTGACCCTCAAGTGAAAGCCAACTCTCACTCGAGCGCAAGAAGTGGTGGATCATCTCCAGAGGCAGAAGTGGACACCCTTCATATTGCCGAGGATAATCCATCACAGTCATATCATACTGAGACAATATGTCAGATATTTGGCTCCTCCTATCACCTTCCCTAAAGTTAAAAACCATGAAAGAAGCATCTGCATAGTGGTCCTGCAGCTGAGCTACAATCCCTCCCATATATGTCTTGTACTCATCTTCATCCAACACGTCAGTGGAGAAGCAGCAATCAAACACTGCAAGTATGACGTACAAAGGAAAAGAAGAGAAAATGTCAGTTAGTTACACTCTCAACCCAAAGAAGCTATAGCTCTAAAGAACTGCCTACTTTGAGATAATGAAGACAGTAATATAGTTCTTCAAGAAGAATAACCGCAGAAAAACATCTAAGCTTCAACTTCTAATCTAAAAGAAGCTGCAACACTAAAATGTAGGGTACTAGCACATTTTATCGCAAGGAGTTGCATTTCCTCTAGTCTAGGACTTCACTTACATCGAAAAGCAACGGCTGATATTCCAAATGTAGCTAATAGGGATATTGATCAATAAGGAAACATGATAAAAGTAAAGTAAAATGCAGAAACAAGAAGCTACTGGAAACTATTCTTAACACAGTTCATAAGCTCAACAACAGAATAAAACACAAAATTACAAACTTCCAGGCTAGAAAAACAGCAGTTTACCATAAACCCGCTCAGAGATCTCTAAAAGCCGATCCGGTGGCTTCCTATAGAAGAACCGTCTGAACAGCGCCATCTAATGGCGCTGTTTCTCCCCTGATCGGATCCAAAACCTCCCCAATTCCACCCTTCACTTCTAAGTACACCAAATTCACCCGTAAAACAGATCTCTAGACAAAATTCCCAATTCAACAGTTCAATTGATCTCAAATTAACTCTCTTCTACAAATACATCAATAATTCACTTAATGTAGTAGAATAATCACCACCAGAATGCAAAATACAGCTGGATTTCTTCAAACTACGATAGCTCAACCAATAAAACACTCTAGAAAACAGCAGAAGAAGTGAGATCGAGGTGAAAATGAGTTTAGGGTTTGTAAGTTGAAGAAGGAAAAAATTCAAAATTCAAAAGAGAGTTGAAGAATGGATTAGATGAGAATGGAAGATATGATCGTTGCCATTGTTTTTAGGAAAGTCAGATAGATGGAGAGAGAGAGAGAGAGAGAGAGAGAGAGAGAGAGAGAGAGAGAGAGAGAGAGAGAGAGAGAGAGAGAGAGAGAGAGAGAGAGAGAGAGAGAGAGAGAGAGAGAGAGAGAGAGAGAGAGAGAGAGAGAGAGAGAGAGAGAGAGAGAGAGAGAGAGAGAGAGAGAGAGAGAGAGAGAGAGAGAGAGAGAGAGAGAGAGAGAGAGAGAGAGAGAGAGAGAGAGAGAGAGAGAGAGAGAGAGAGAGAGAGAGAGAGAGAGAGAGAGAGAGAGAGAGAGAGAGAGAGAGAGAGAGAGAGAGAGAGAGAGAGAGAGAGAGAGAGAGAGAGAGAGAGAGAGAGAGAGAGAGAGAGAGAGAGAGAGAGAGAGAGAGAGAGAGAGAGAGAGAGAGAGAGAGAGAGAGAGAGAGAGAGAGAGAGAGAGAGAGAGAGAGAGAGAGAGAGAGAGAGAGAGAGAGAGAGAGAGAGAGAGAGAGAGAGAGAGAGAGAGAGAGAGAGAGAGAGAGAGAGAGAGAGAGAGAGAGAGAGAGAGAGAGAGAGAGAGAGAGAGAGAGAGAGAGAGAGAGAGAGAGAGAGAGAGAGAGAGAGAGAGAGAGAGAGAGAGAGAGAGAGAGAGAGAGAGAGAGAGAGAGAGAGAGAGAGAGAGAGAGAGAGAGAGAGAGAGAGAGAGAGAGAGAGAGAGAGAGAGAGAGAGAGAGAGAGAGAGAGAGAGAGAGAGAGAGAGAGAGAGAGAGAGAGAGAGAGAGAGAGAGAGAGAGAGAGAGAGAGAGAGAGAGAGAGAGAGAGAGAGAGAGAGAGAGAGAGAGAGAGAGAGAGAGAGAGAGAGAGAGAGAGAGAGAGAGAGAGAGAGAGAGAGAGAGAGAGAGAGAGAGAGAGAGAGAGAGAGAGAGAGGCAAATTAGGCAAAAGCGAGAAGAAGAAACGTAGTGGACTGAAAAGTTTGAGAATAGTCGTAAACATACAGGAAACTACTGTGTACATACTTGGATCCGGAAAAAGTACACACCCGAACCGAACCCGTATTGGTTCGTTGTCTGATGCGGAGTGGTGAGGGGCTAAATGGACCATGTGGCGTATATGGACAGAGAAAAGACTGACACAGAAAAAGAGAGATGAGGAATTGGGGTATAGGGGTTCCGACAAAAAAAGCCAATTTTAATCACACGCGTCACCCAAAGTCCAAAGTACCCGACTCGACTGAATCTGGTTCCACTCCTCTCTTTTTTCAAATTTGGGTTTTTTTAGATGAGATATAATATGTGTGATAATTTACATGTTCAACGTGTAATATGTCAAGTAAGATATATATGTCCATTTATTTAATTTAAGTGAGTATAATAGTTGATTTATTTATTACTATGCTTTTTTTTCTTTTCAAAAAAACTATTTGCCTCCTAATGCCTTTTTAGCACACTTCTTTTGCTACAAATGGGTCGATTGGAACTTTTACTATATTATCAATATTTTTGTTAAAGAATGACAAAAGTCTCACATCGGTGATTAATGAGATGGGTGGACTCTTTACAAGGCTTGGACAATCCTCCTCCCTTTGAACTAGCTTTTGGGGTGTGAGTTAGGCCTAAAACCTAATTTAACATGGTATTAGAGCAAGGCCCGTCTCACCCGATGTTGGGATCCCCAAAATCAAAATTGTCCACGCACCAGATGCTAGCGTGAGGTGTGGTGTTAGAGAATGACAAAAGTCCCACATCGGTAGTTAATGAGATGGGTGGACTCCTTATAAGGCTTGGGCACAATCCTCCTCCCGTTGAGCTAACTTTTGGGGATGTAAGTTAGGTCTAAGACCTAATTTAACAATTTTACTTAATTAGTTTTAATGTATGTATCTGTTTTATTTTTATTTTCATTTTTAGTTTAGTTAATTCTAATAATAATGTTTTTTTTATAATTTTTTAATTTTAATTTTTTCACATAGCATTTTGATTAATTTAGTTTTGATTCTTTTTAAGTTTTTTGAATTTAGATTCACATTATATCTATTCGTTTTTTGGATTTTTTGAATGTATGATAATTGAATTTGTATAGTTCAGGAAAAAACTCCTCATTGATTTCCAGAATTGTAAATAATCTGATCCATCAACAATAAATATATTTAATATCACAGACAAAATAAAATTCTCTTATTACTCATCTTTCATATAATCAACAAATCAAATAGCTCCTGCAGAATTTCCACGTTAAAGGTTACAAAAAAAAAATAGAAAATAAACTATGCTCTAATTTATTTTTTTGTCACGTGGTAGCTCTTTTTTCTTCTTCTTCTTTTATTGGGGTGTCAGTGAGAAAGCATGTTTGTTAATGCTTAGCGGTACCTTAAGGTTTATATTTATTTATTATATAAAATAATAAAAAAAAATATTAAAAAGAAATAGTTCAGAAGATAAAATAAAAAAACAGAACAATAAAGGAAGTGTCGAGCAAAAATTTGGATCACAATATACAATTGTTCCTTGGTTTCAATTTATTACTAACAAATTTTGAATCAATCAACAAGGTTGACATCTATAAAAAAAAATCGGAGTGTTTCGCCTCAAATAGAATTTTAAATAGAAAAAAATTGAAATAATCAGATTCCGATATAATATCGCACCTCGAACGAAAACTAAAAAAACAACAAGATTGACATCCAAATATTCTTTTGTCTTTGTGCTTTTTTGTCTTGTAAACTCTATTTGATGCTATGTATTTTTATTTTTATTTTTGAGCTAGCTAGAAAATTTCACTTTAAAATAAAGTTATTGCTGTGAAAGATGGATGTACGTATTTCAAAGATTTGAATTTACAATCTTTAATTAGTTACTATTATAAGTTATAACCTTGAGTGATATTTACGCTATCTAACTTTAAAGTCTAAGTTGTACTTATAACCTTTAGTGATATTTACGCTATCTAACTTTAAAGTCTAAGTTGTACTTATAACCTTTAGTGATATTTACGCTATCTAACTTTAAAGTCTAAGTTGTACTTATAACCTTTAGTGATATTTACGCTATCTAACTTTAAAGTCTAAGTTGTACTTATAACCTTTAGTGATATTTACGCTATCTAACTTTAAAGTCTAAGTTGTACTTATAACCTTTAGTGATATTTACGCTATCTAACTTTAAAGTCTAAGTTGTACTTATAACCTTTAGTGATATTTACGCTATCTAACTTTAAAGTCTAAGTTGTACTTATAACCTTTAGTGATATTTACGCTATCTAACTTTAAAGTCTAAGTTGTACTTATAACCTTTAGTGATATTTACGCTATCTAACTTTAAAGTCTAAGTTGTACTTATAACCTTTAGTGATATTTACGCTATCTAACTTTAAAGTCTAAGTTGTACTTATAACCTTTAGTGATATTTACGCTATCTAACTTTAAAGTCTAAGTTGTGTTAGTAGAGAGGATATATTGTTTTTATTTGAAGAAAGTTTATGCATTGATGAATTTACATAATTTCTAAAGTATGACCTTTTCTGTACATCTTTTTTTGTCTATATATATTAAAAATAGATGTTAATTTTTATTTGTACAGTTTTAAAAAAATATAAGAAATAATTTATCACACTCTTAATTTACCTTTATTATCAAGTAAAGTTATTTCCCCAATGCATTATTTAAAACATTAAAATTATTATATTCAAAAAGTGATATAATAATTATCATTTTATGTATTGCTTTTTAAAGATCAGATATGTCAAGTCAATAGTGAACAAGTAAAGATGGAGAAAGGAAGTACTCTATTTAATATCGTCTCCAACTTTCAAACATTCAATTCATCATAATTAAAGTATATGAAGGTTAAACGGTTAAAATAATTAAATTTAAAATTAGGTTCGGACATTTGATTACCTAATTTATTATGAATACAGTTTTTCCTAATTAAATTATTTACTGAAATTTTTAATGTTAGTAAAAAAATAATTAAATTCTTTAATGATTTAAACACCCAACTAGGGGAAGGATGGAGACCACGTTAGTCATAGGGCTGGGCATAAAAATAAAATGTTTCATATCTACTCTTCTATGTCCCAATGTCAAAAATTAAATTTATTTTTATATATTATGAATTTATGCCAAAAAAAAAAGTAGTTTAGCAAATAGAAAATCTTGGTAATAGTATATTTTATTTACTTTGTAGTGTTGTGGTAGGTGACCAAAGTGGTTAATAGGTTGGTTTTAACAACTAATGGGGGTGAAGAGTAAACACTAGGTAGATGTTTGATCATAAACGTTGTAATGTAAAATTTCAAAATGGTAATAGTAATGGTTGGTAGATGATATAAAATATGGAACTGTTGTTATAAAAATTAAATCAGAATTTTAGGATAAATATTGAAATTAAAAGTAACTCCAACCGTTAAAGAGAGTTGAAAAACAAGTTATAAGCTATTTTTTAAATTTGAAATACAACTTCAAGTAAAATTTAAAATTTTCCTAATCAAATACTTATTTTCAAATAAAGTAAAAAATTATTCTAAGAAAATCATTTATAATTTTTATGGCCAAACGAAAATATCTGAAGCAGGAAACCATCACATGAAAGTATAAATTGAATACTCAAATGTATAAACAAATAAAATTAAAAATAGCAAAAAAAATTAAAAATTATACCTCATAATAGTGAAATAATATCAAAGGTTAAGACAAGAGAGTAACACAAAGTCAACAAGTTTGCATTACATTTTTTATGATTATATTATTTATTTTTCCAGGAAGAAAACATTATTGTACTTTGATATATCTCAAAAATGGAGGATGAGAAAAGACAGGAAGATATGATGATGGATCAAACAAAATATATGTAGTAAGAATTAAACAAAGTCATGTGACCATAATTTCTTGTCATGTTCATGAAAAAGACATTAATGCCAATCATCACTTTATCTCAGTATATATATATATATATATATACTCCAAATATGCATGTAACATAACATGGCTCTGATGAGAGTGATCCTTTCGAACTCATATCGATATTTACGTCAAATTATATTAATTTATGAGGATTAGATGAATTAA